GAGCTAATAATTAATTTGGAGTGTTGGTCCAAGGTACCCCATGGCTATTCCTTTTCATAGCATGAGCTTCATCTGGCCAAAACCACATGCAGAGCCAGGCACTGTGACCCTGGCTGCAGCTGTAGATGCTCAGCACTTTCACAGGTCAGACCCCAGCAGCTCGTATCAGCTGCCCAACAAACCTGGGCACAATTAGTGGCTGCTTATGAAAACTTGAAGCACCTGGCCCTGAGCTGCACAAAGCCTCTGTTGCAGGAACAGGTCAGGAGGAGCCAAATGCTCTCTGAAGAACAAAAGCCTGCATTTAAGTGTTGGCATTGGATTAAACATAAAAGCATCCTTTAGCTCCTTGCTTTGCTTTCTCCAGCAGGAGTTTATCCAGAAGTTTCACCTCTGCTGCATGGCCCAGATCTATTCTGTAACGTAAGGCACTGGGTGAATTGGGTACTGTGTGTCCTGGGGGAAGAAATGGTGTGCATGGCTGGGAAAATGCACTGGGAGCAAAAGATCTGGGCTGAAATTGTACAGACAGCTTGGGCACCTCTAAAACTTGAGGGATTTTTTCCCCAATCCTCCTTTTCTGTGTAAGACAAGCGTAATGTGTGTGACAGGACATATCAAGTAGGCTAAAGCAAATCTAGTAGGGGAGAGTGAGAGATTATATGAATGAAACCTAATGGCTCCTCACCAGGCCTGGGGCAATTTTAGATCCCACACTGACCTGGGACATAGGGACAGAAAAGAGGAGATTATTATTAGCACCCATCTGTAAATGAGTTGAGGGGAGAGATAGGATGTTACTGGCTGAGTTTCATGGGTTTGGGCTAAGCAGCCTCTGAAGGAATGTACAGGGTATAAATGTTGTGGTCTGTTCCCTTCTCTGCCTCCCTTGGTGCACACCAATAGAATTTTGTGTCATCTACTCAACCTCTTCTAGTGTACCCCAGCTATGCTTCTGCTCCACCCATGCCTTGTTGTCCCCATCCTAGGTGTTTTCTGGCACTGCCTCCTCATCCTCGTGATCCCTTTCCCTGCATTCCCATCCTGTTGACTGGGGCCCACATGACAACACTGATGTAGATGTGAGGTCACTGCTTTTCCTCGAGCAGAGGCTTGGCCATGTGGATTGCGGGAAGCAAGTCCAAAATTTAGTTTGTTCTGTGTTTAAAAGAGTTTGAGTTCTTTTTTGTCTCTGCAAGGCCCGTTTCAGGCTTTTATGTCCTATACAGCTCATCTGTTTTGGCATCTTTCGTTCTCTTTTTCCCCAGAAAACTGTTCCAACCAAGGTTTCTTGAAAACACGTGGCTAAAACTCCCTCTTGGTTTAAAAAACAACAGAATAAACCAAAACATGAAGAACTTTCCATTGGGAATTTCACCACTGACACCAAAAGAGATAGTGTGGTCTTCAGTATTAGATACTTGTGTGTGGGGGGAGAAAATACTTGATTCTTCTCCATCCTCTGAGAGTCAGATATAATCCCATCCTTTTGTCTTAAGCTCACTCTGTTCCAAAAATAATTGTTAAGAGTAACATTTCTGAGCAGGTACAGGAGGGGAAGTAATTGGAAAACCATTTTAATTTTATGCTGTAGCAATAGGTGACAATATGGCTTAAAAAACCCCTGTTTTCTGATGAATTATTTTATACTCCCTGGTTAGTTATTTCTTGTGTGTGTATATATATAAACATATGTGTGTGTGCATGCTCTTCATATCTGTTTCTTTGCTTTAAAATGGTCAATCACTTTTGCATCTCTTTGTGGATCCTTCACATTAATCTCCTTGTGCAGGCATCCCACCAAGCAATCACAACTCATTGAAATGTGAATTTCAAATGATTTCTTTATCTCTTCATCAAAACATAAGAAATTATTCTTTAAAAATAATGGGTTTTGCCCCCATCCTGTAACATACACCTCCTGCTCATTAGCAACAAATATTTGCTGAAGAAGTGGAAAGCAGTGATTTGTTTATTTTAAGTGATAATAGAACAAGTTTTGGCCCAGAAAGAAAAGTTGTGGCTAGGAAGTAGAATGATTCTCAGTGTCAACCATATGTTGCATTCATCTAACTGAAGTGGCTTAATTACTGGTAGGTGTTGCTGAGCTCATAAAGATACCGTTTTGCCAAGATTGTTTGCTGATAATTGCATTCCCCCCCCCCCCCCCCCCCCCCAAAAAAAAAAATCTGAGAAACTTCCTCCCACCAAGCTTCCCTTCCAGTCTTCCTTCAGCATCCTTTTCCTTTAGATGCCCACCACAGAGACAGAGCCACACTGAGAGAGGCTTGTATAAAAAATTTCTGGAGGTCCAGTGTTGTTAACGCTCCTCCTTGGTCTGTCTTGGGGCAGGGGAGGAACTGCAGTAGCCGTGCTCCAAATGCACGGCTCTGCTCCTTGGGAGAGGGAGCGGTGGTGATTTTGGAGTAAATTATTCCTCTAATTGCGTAGCTGGTTTCAGTCTGGGATTAAGGCAGCTCAAATAATGACCTGACTTTTTGTAGCTGTAATGAGCAGCAAGCTCGGTCCTTCAAGATCCCTGATATTTTGAATCCTTTCCAAAAATATTCCTGTCGTCAAATCCAAAGTGGAATTTGGGATTTAGCGGTAAGGGGTAAGTGGGCTGGCGGTAACAACCAGCAGCCTCCCTCCGCTTCTGCCTATGCATTCTCATGATAAAGGGCACTTTAAAGCCCCTCTGACAATGAATGAGTCCTAGTTAAATATTTCAAGAACTTCTTTACATGGTTTCCCCTGATGCATGTACTGTTGAGACATCTGTCTTCCGTACTAATAAAGTAGTCTAGATTTAAAATGAACTTCATTGGATTGCTTTGAAACTATAGGCACATATGGTTCATAATTAGCTGGATATCTCTTATAGTTAAATGATTTTTTTTCTCTCTCTCTCTCTCTGTCGCCCATTCGCATCAATAATAGAAGCAAACAAAGTTCCAATTGTTCCCTGTTGCGGGACATTATGTGCCTGAATAAATGGATGTTGGCTGTGTCTACATGGATTTGCCATATGGCTACAAAGGCCGAAAGAATAGGGGCAGTGTGCTTTGTGCCGGGGCTCGGAGGGCCGGCCGGGCTGGGTGGGGCAGGGCGCGGGGGCGGCCGCACCCCTTCCCGCACCCCTTCCCGCACCCCTTCCGCACATCTTCCGCACATCTTCCGCACATCTTCCGCACATCTTCCGCACCCCCGGGCCCTGCGGGCAGCCGGAGCGCCGGGGGCTGCGGGACGGGGCCCTCCCTGCTGCGGGCTGCAAACCTGGCGGCTCTGCTCGGGCAGTGCCCGTGGGCTAGAATTATTTGCTTTAGAACCCCGTGCCTAAACTGTCCCCGCGGTGAGAGCTTTCTTTCCTCCTGAGCCAGGCTGGGCACACCTCATGGCTCCTCCGGCCGAGGTATTTGGGAGCTCGGAGCAAGGATCTTTCATTGCAAAAAGTCCTATTATTAGTTGCGGGCTGGGACAATGGAGGTCCCAAAGGCACCTGCTTTCATGAAAGCGAGAGAAAAGCCCATAAATCCTGGAGGATCCAGCTGCCTCACTCCGGGTATTGTTGGCTTTCATAAGGAAAGGGAAAAGCTATTTTTCTTTTCAAAGGGGGGGAAAATCGTATTGAGTCAGCGGCCACTGATGCGGGCGTGTAAAATAATCCCGTTCTGATTAAGCGATCATGGAGCTGGAGGTAATCAATGTTACTTTTACAGCCAGGAGCGTTTGGCGGCCGTGACAGCGGGGGGAGAGTTTGGGGGAAAAGGGGGGGCAGAGAGGAGCGCTGTGACGGGGGAAGACGATGTGGGTAAACCTCGAGCCTTATTCACCCTGAACCTCATTCTCTCAGCTCCCTCCCCCCTCCGTGGAAGTGTATCATACAGAGATCAGAAAACCAGGGAGTGACGCCCTCTCGGTCCGCCCCAGCTGCTGGGTCCAGTGTGGGGGTGCAGCATTTCAGAGGTGCCAAGTCGGGGAGTGGAATCGGAAAGGCATAAATCAGTCCAGTCAGTCCCCGCGTCCTGGTCCTCCTCCCCATCTGCACTCTCCAGCATCCCAATCCTGCACCACCTGCAGCCAGCACCAGACGTGGGCTGTCCCCCTTTTCCGGGCAGCGTGGGGCTGGGATTCAGAGCGGGGAGTGCGCCCCGACCCCACGGGGCTGCCTGAGGATGCCACGGCTTTACCCTGCCCTCAGGCCACGGGGATGCCGCAAAGTGCCGCTGGTGCATGGCTGTGACAGCGCTGTAACCAAAACACTGTCAAAAAAAAAAAAAACAAACCACTGTCTGGTGGGAGGGTTTGTTTCGTGTGAGCGTTGTTTTGCTTTTTACGTCTTCTAGGGCGAGCTGAAACTGCTGCCTTTCCCAGAACTGTTGTGTGTTTGCCCTGTAAATCATTGCTGGGCAAGAGGTACCAGGAAGTGCTTCCCTGCAGTGGCCAGGGCTGCGGGCTGGGGAGCGAGGGCCCGCGGCCGAAAGAAGGGGCGGGGGGAAGGTTTGCACAGCCACGACACGGGCGTCCCCGCCCTGCCGAGCCCGCACGCACCGCTCACCCCCGAGGCGGTCCCGCCAGAGGCAGGCAGCGGCCCCAGCCACGATGCGGTGAGGGAGCCGACCCCGGCCCAGCCGGGCTCCTCGAGGGGGGCCACGTACAGCCCCGGGAAGAAAGGGTGAACTGCTAAAAGTAACCATTACAACGCGCCGAAAGGCCGAAGGAAGGGTGTGATGAAGGGCGTGTGCTCCCCGCACGCTTGGTTAACTCCGGCAGCACTCAGGAGTTTGAACTTGTTTTTAAGGGAGAAGCCCTCCTTTCCCCTCCGAGCCGCGTGCCCCTTACCGGGGTCGTGCTCCGGGGGTACCGGGGCCCCGCGGCGAGGGAGGACCCCCCTCCACCGAGAGACTCAGACTGGGCTGGGCTCCCCCGCCCAAGCCGCCGGGGCTGTCTCTGCCACCCCCCTCCCCCCGGACTTCCCCTCCAGCACACACCAAGCAGGCTTGCGGCCGTTTCCTTTTATTTAATTTTATTATTGAAGTTGTGGCATTATTTGCAATGGCAGTGGTACAGACCGGCTCAGGATCCATTGAAACAGATTTGTCTTCAAGTAAAGTCTAAAAAATATTTTTGATTCATAGCTACATCTTGTGAATGCAAAAAAAAAAAAAAAATCCACTATAAAAATAAATTTACATTTTGTGAATAACAAAAGCAAATATAGTGCCCTTTGGCTTAACCAAAAGAAAACAAAAGACTATTGGATGTCAAAGTTATCCACGTTTCTGACATAAATAGAAAATATAAGTTAGTATAACTCTTAAAAAAAGTTTTGTACAAATATACACTTGTTTTTTTAATTTTTCCTTTTTTTGCACTGAGAGCTCAGCAGAGATTAAACATTTCTTATAAATGACTTTTAAAGCTTTACACTTCTGGCCAGTGTACTCACATTAGGCATAATACATTTCTATACAGAACGTCATACATTGCACTGTTGTACGATAACACTGCTCCGTGCGCGGCCGGCGCTGCGGCTCCGCTCCGTGTCCCGCTCCCGGGCCGGGCGGGCGCGGGGGGGTCCCGGCTCGCCGCGCCGCCCTCCCCGGCCCCCCGCGCCTCCGGGGCGTCGCGCCTCCCGCGGCGGCGCGCCTCTCCCGTGGGTGCAGTAGTGCAAAAGTCTGGAGAAGGACAAAAAGGAGGAGGAGAAAAAAAAAATAAGCTGGGGGAAAAAAAACCGTCGCGGTATATGAAGTGAGTAAGAGAGCGCGGCAGAATGCGCCCGGACAGCCTTGCCCGCTGCCGGGGCGAGTCTTACCTGGCTCACCGGAGCCGCTTGCGGGGGGACTGCTCAGCCGGCACGGCGGCGGGGGGCGGCGGGCAGCCGGCGGGGCGTTCCGCCGCCGCCTTGGGCTCCGCCGGCCTTTTTCTCCTCGCAAAGAAATCTGGATGGGGGACGGAGAGGAAAGAGGGGTCCGTCAGCCACGGCGGCGGGACGGCCCTCGTCCCCGCGCTCCCCGGCTCCCCACGCACCTGTGATGCGGGCGGTCGGGCCCCTCCGGCGGGGCCGCATGCCGCGGCGGCGCGGCGCTGCGCGGTTCTCCCGGCTCAGGCGCCCCCCGGGCCCCTTGCCGGCGGCGGGCGGCGGCGGCGGGGAAGGAGGCGCCCGGACGAGGGGGACGCGGCACCGTCCCACCTGCAGAGTCTCCCGGTAGAAAGCGGGCACGGCGCCGGCCTCCACCTCCTCCCAGTGCAGGCGGCCGGGCCCCGGCAGCGGCGTGTCGGTTTGGAAGTTGTAGTCCCAGCGGCGCTGGTCGTCCTCCCCCATCTCCCGCAGGCGCTCCCGCAGTTCCCGGCCCAGCTCCTCGTGGTCCACCGGCCCGAAGAGACTCCTGCAGACGGGGCTGCGGCCGTGCCCGACCAGGGCTCGCCGGGCCGAGAGGCGCTCCAGGGCGGCGGCGCCGGAGAGGTGCACGTTGGACATCGCCGGCGGGCCGGGAAGGCGTGGATGCCCCCCCGCCGCTCCTCTCCTGCCGTCCCGTCCGCTCGCTCCCCCGCGCTCACACCGGCCCTGCCTCCCGCCTTTGAACCCCTGCCCCCGGCCGCTGCCTTTTAAACCCCGCTCCCCGCGAGTGCGAGCAAAACACCATTAGCATAATAGTGTTTCCCTGCCGCCGGCCCGCCGCGATTGGCGGGGCCCCCCCCGCCGCCCCCCGGCCCCCGGCGGCAGCGCGGCTGCCCGCGCCCTCCATTGGCTGCGCCGGGCAGCGCCGCGCCGCCGCCGGCCGCATTGGCCCGCTCCGGCCCGGCCCGGCCCCGCCGCGGCCCGGGGGGGCGGCCCCGCCGCTAGCCCGGCCCCGGAGGGCGGCTGCCGCGCTCCCCGCCCGCTGCCGGCCCCCGCTCCCTTTGTCTGCCGCTCCGCCGCCGCTTCCAAGCCGGCGACTTTGTTTTTTTCCCCTCCGCTCCGTGTTGCCTTTTCCGCGTGATGGATATGCGTGTGGGAGTGTTTTTACTCTTATTTTTCGCTATTATTTTTGTTTGGGATTTTTTTTTTTCCCTCCTCGAGGGGTGTCGCCAGTTTTTTCAGCATCCGTGGAGCGTGAGGGCTTGGGGCGGGGGAGGTGATGCGTGTGGAGGAAAACGGGATCGTTTCTGGCTCGGAGATTTTTATTACACTGCTGCAAAACAAAGCGAGATGCTTGCAGATTTCAAAACAAGCTGAAGGCTATTTTTAAAAATAGGGCTTCTTAGCTGCATGGAAGTAATAACTTGCAGCCTTAGTGAATAGAAGTACATGAAAACCACAGCATTTTCCTCTCCTGACTTTAAAACCCACATAATACGTGTTTGTTCACTGCAGATGAACTAATCTCGCTATTGTGTTGTCAGGGATCAGCTGGCTTGTGCTTTACATTTTCTGCAGGTCACTGCAATCATTGCCTTTTGTTGTTTTGGGATGGAGAAGTATGAAAGGAAAAGAAGGGGGAGCATAATTGACACCGTGCTAAAATTGGTCCTAGAACATCATCACAGTGTTGATGCGCGTCTCAGAGGGTCATCATGGCAATGATTTTTTTCATCTGCAGACAAGGGGAAAGATGAACCTTTTTCATGCAGTGTGTTTGGTGACCCCCTCCCTCATGTCCCTTGAGAAGTTCTTGCCTTTGAGAAGTTCAAACCCTTGAGCAAACACAATTTGGATGGTTTTATTTCCTAGAGGGAATAAAATTAATATTAATTCCTAGGATATGCTGGCTCTGCATATCCCAGAGACTGTCCCAGATGGCTACTTGCTGCAGGGCTGGAGGGGTTGCAACTTTAGGCCCCTTAGGGCAATGGTGCTTCAAGGTAGGTCTGCTTCAAGAAGAGAGGCATTTGTTTTTGTATCCATGGAAAGGCCTTGCCAGGTGCACCAAAGTCCGTGGTGCTTCCACATTTGTCCCACTTCTGTGACACAGAAGCCCTGCAGCACTGCTGGGGACCCTCACTCCTGCACTTGCCGTGCCAGTGAGGAGCTGGTGGCAGCTGGGACAGCTCCTGCCACCTCCCGGATACTGCACCTTCAGTGGTGCTTCCAAAATCTGCCTGCACCAAGAGGTACCAGCAGTGCCCGTGGGTTTGGACCCACAGACCCGGGGTTGGCTGCTGCTGGCAGAGAGAATGTTGGAGCCTGATTCACTGCACAGGGAGGATCTATCCATGCTCAGGCTGCTGAGCAGTGAGATGCCATGACAGGTTTGATCTCCTGAAGTTATTTCCCGATGTTTGTGGGGTGCTCTCGGTGATGGAGAGAAGATGCAGCAAGTGCCTTCAGGGTGCAAATTCCCATTTGTTTCCTGGGCAGGCATGGAGTCGTACCTGGCAGAAGATTTTGCTGACCAGTGGTACAGACAGACCACTTTCATTTCACTAATGGTGATAGCACTGGTGTTTTAAGAAATGTGAAGACTTTTTTTTCTTTTAAAGATGCCTGTTGAAATGTTATATTCTTAACAGCCATTCTCAGTTTCCCAGGTGAGCTGGACAACCTACCCACGTGGCTGCTTTAGGTGAATATTACCCCACTTTCCTTTCCATCCCAAAATGGCCCTTGAAGACAGCCATATGGAGGTCTCTTGGCCCCAAGGTTATAACCTAGGGAGCAGGTCATGAAAAATTCCTCATCACTAGGAGCACATCATCCTAAAAGCCAGGAGGTGCACATCATTTAGGCACAGGTTCAGCCAGGAGAGAAGGTGTGGGTCTTGCAAGCTAGGATGGTTGGAGAGTGTGGTGAACATGGCACAGTGTTCACCTGGGAACTTCTCTTAGCAGCCATCAAATGCATCTCTTGGGATATAGGTTGGGGTAGTTCTAGCAATAAAGGTGCTGTGCAGAGAAAATAATTTGAGGTCCCCAAGAAACCTGCTGGAAAAGTGTCCTTTATTCAGGACTCGTGCCAAAAGGCAATGGCCAGGTCCCTGCAGACAGGAGCTCTTTGTGAGGAGTCCTCGCAAACCTGCTGCTGTCCTCCCCCTGTGCCGGCGAGGCCAGCGACCTCCTTTGCTGTGTTCTGCCTCCTCGATTTTAGACATTCCTGCCATGAAAACTGCACGAGCAAGATCCCCCGCTATTCGCAAGATGTGGGCGTGGCCTCTGCAAAATCCACGTCGTTGTCCTTCCAAACCCTTTCCAGGGGTTAGCCAATATTTACAGAGTGCTTGAAGGAGGCAAGGACCGACGGTTTCAACGTTCAGGAGTTGCCTTGTGTGAGGCCACTTCACCTTCCAGCTCACCTGGGAGGTAAAGCAGCTCAGGTCTGAGATTACTACCCCTGGTTTTTTAAGTTCAGCTTCCTCACTGTTAACGCTCCCTAATGCTTTTGGCTCGACTTTTTTGTCCCACTAACGTTTAGGTTTTAAGGTGGTGGTGACAGTCCTGGCCACTTTCTGCTCACAAGCTCTAGCAGCCTTTCTTTTTTGTGTGGAGATAGAGAGTATCCAGCCCATTTGAGGAGGAAGTACTGTATGCACAGAGAGATGTTTTTAATTTAGTGGATCTGTGAACTCTCAGGCCAGAGGGGTAGGTTATGATCCTCTAAACCAGCAGTTTGCCTAACATGAGCCACAAAAGCTTACCCAAGAGCTCCTGCCACCAAGCCTATTAGCTTCTTTAGAAATTCCTGCTCCAGAACACTGAGCAGAGTAATTACTGCTATGGTTAGAACAATGCCCCATGAGAATGAAACATTTTTGCTCAAAATATCCAAGTCATTTCTGCTTATGTCAGGAAAAATAATGATTTTAACTAGTGTGTATTCCTGCTGGCTGCTCTGTTTCAAAAGGGTGAGGGGAGGGAAAAGCAAACTCCTTTATGGCCTGTGCATCATTGCAAGGGGATTGCAATTGCAGCAGGTTTATTGCATTTGACTATTTCTGTTTGGAAAGGGTCCAGGTTGACTGTCAGAGCCAGGGCTGAGTCTGATGGCTTGGCAGATAGGGGAAGAGAGGTCCTTGCACTGTAAACTGAGCAAGGAGTAACCAAGGAGATTTGATAAGAAGTTATGGAAGTAACAAAAGAGAGATTCTTGGTGCTGTCATTCTGATGGGGCTGGCTGTTGGGCAACTCCAGGTTAACTTATTCAGAAGAGAGGATTTAGTGAGATGCTTATGTATAGAGGCAAACAGTCCCCATGACGTGGTGCCATGGAGGAACGCTCCTCTGTCTTTTGGCAAGTCTTGGAGCGAAGTTCTCCTGCAGGGGTTGTCCTCAGCATGCTCCCAGACGAGCAGAGCTGTTGTTGGGCCCCTGAGGCTGGGAGGTTTGTGCTCTGTTCTCATTTCCCTTAGTACACGGTTATCATCTACACCCAGCAATCTTTAACTCAAGATTCTTCAAATGTAGTGTGATCTACATGTGATTGCTTCATTTCAGAACGTGTTATATCCCATAATTGCTTTAGCAGAGTCACAGACCAATAGACATTGGTACTTTATCTCCTTTGCACTTCTCTTTTACTAAGCATGTGATCCTAAGCAATTTACATTTATACCAGTGGCAATTTTGCTTGGTACTTTGGAATCCTGCTTAAATAAATTGATTACAACTAAGGTTCAAGTTAGGACAGACTGCTCAAGCTCTTCATTGAGGCTTTTCTACCACCAAAGTGACAAATCAAATTATTCAAACTGGTATAGATTCAGATTTTTCCATTTCTTGACAAGGTCATAAAATGTCAAATTATTAGATTTGATAGCTGGGCAAAACCACACTAGTTCAGGGGTTAAAATGCATAAAGGAAATCTGAGCAGAACCATGGAAAAATTCTGGCAGCTTTAATTCAGTTTGAATTGCTTTTTGTTGTGTTCTCAAAAAAAAAAAAAAAAATAGCATGAGCTAGTATCTCAGAAAAATAAAATTGCTTAATTTAATTTAATTTGCTTTAATTATTTTTTTCATTATTCCTTCTGTTCTTGATTGTTAAAAGAAGAGCCAGCCTTGCTGTCCAGCTGCTGTGCATCATTAGGGTAGCACAAAGGTAGCAGTGAATTTAGCCTAATCTATTGATGGACCTGCCAGTGCACCAGGGGCCATTGCATTCTCTCTTCACACTCCTCTTTTGCTCTTGCCATCATGTTGTTTTACTAGATGAACTCCACTCGCCATCTGGCTCTTCATCCTGACTGGGAGCCTGGCTCATTTGCAGGATGCTGTGCTGTTTGCTGGGAAAGCAGGCTGGGAATGGCAGGTACCAAGCAGCATTTTGAGCTCACAGTACGTACCTGTGGAGGGTGGCTCTTTTTTGCTTGCTGTCTGTGTAGTTATATTTTAGGAGTAGTTAAATGCTCCATTTATTTATATTCCCTGCTTTTCTGTTGGTGTAATTGCTGTCGAAGTCATGCTCTACGCTCACAGGTCCTGTTCACTGCCACTCTTTGCATTAAAATAGAGGTTTGCCTTTTGCTTGTTTTGACATTCCCCTCGCCTTTCATCTTGATCCATGGTAATATTATTTTTGGAGTAGCTTTTCATAGGTTATTTCTACTTCATGTAGGGGGAGGTAGTGGTGAAGGGGCCATTACGCAGGTTTTATTTTTGGTTTCATATTTCTTAAGTAAACAGGTTTTTTACTGCTGGTAGTCTAGTCCTGAAGGAGACCGTTCATG